AAGTGGGAAAGCTACTGAACAATCACAGGAACTATGTATCACACACATCAAAAGTGCCTTCAGGGCTCCTGCTGTGGAGAAGCCACCGAACCTTAAACCAAATGTTTTAATTTTTTTTAAACTTGTTTTTACATTTACTTAGTGTGTGTGCGTGTGTGCATGTGTGTGTGTATGTGTGTGTGTGTGAAAGCCCTTGTCCAAAACAGTGTGCATGGGGAAGAGGGAAGAACCACTTAAACAGCGAGTTCTTTCCTTCCACCATGTGTGTTCTGAGAATCGAACTAAGGCTGCCAGACTTGCTAAGAAGAGCCTTTACCAGTTGAGCCATCTCATTAGCCCCAATAATTTAACTTTATAAACCAGAAATCACTATTTTTATGTAAATTTCTTCTCTACTTTCCATGGAATGAAGTTTTAAATAAACACCGGAGGGAAAATTCTGTGACAATGACACAGTTTCATTGCTTCTGATTCTGTGCTAAGACTGAAGCCTGAGTCAGTGTGACATTGTCTCGGTACTGCACCACAGGGCCTTACTCACTCTAGTTTATCTAACAACATATTCCATTGAATCCAGAGACTGGAATTAAGTCAAATACTGTTGTTGCTTTTATTCTTCTTCAGCCTGTCTACTTTGGAAGTTTGGGCAGCTGTGCTTGACATATCAGTATATAAAATTCTGAGTTGCTCCAGAGACTTTTGTGTTTCTTTATACTTACATATTTGTGCATGCATGTATGTGTACGTGTGTGTGGGGGGGATATGTTGAGGTCAGAGAACAATTTACAGGAGTAGGTTCTCCCTTTCTGTTGTTTCTGAGGATCAAAGGCAAGTCTTTTTTTAATTAATTAATTTAAGATTTCTGCCTCCTCCCCTCCACTGCAGCCCATATCCCTCCCCCTCCCCCAATCAAGTCCCCCTCCCTCATCAGCCCAAAGAGCAGTCCGGGTTCCCTGCCTTGTGGAAAGTCCAAGGACCTCCCACCTCCGAAGGCAAGTCTTTAGGAGGGACAGTGAGTGTCTCTACTCACTTTGATGGTTAGCTTTTGTCAACATGATACAATCTAGAATTACCATGGAAAGGATTGCTAAGAGGGATTGTTTAGATTGAGTTGACCTGTTGGCACGTCAGTGAGGGATTATCTGTTAATTGAGGGTGGTTCAGAATGGTTGGCATCACTCTCTGGGAAGGCCATTCTGAGTTATATGTAGGGAGAAACGGAGCTGCTCATCCGCTTTCTTTGTTCTTGACCGTGGATAAATGTGATGAGTTCTCTCGTTTCCGCCTCTGTAACTTCCCTATCATGATGGATTGTAGCAGGGAAGTATGAGCTGAACAAAGCCCTTTTTTTCCTTCAGCTGTGTTGCTAGGGTTCTCTATCCCCGCAGTTGGAAAAGAAACTAAAACACCCGCTGAGGAATCCTGCTGTCCCTGCTCAAAAGGATTTGAGGTAGTTTCAGACATGCGCACCTTAAATTTCAGTTAGTGAGGAAAAATGTCTAATATCTGTGCCACATGATGACAGTTATTAATAGCAGTGCCTGATACCTGATGATTCCGATCAGCTACATTTTCAGCATTCTATCTAGATAAAAAATAAAAAGGTAATATATGAAGAAAGGAAGATATGTGGTTCTCAATTAATTGAAGTTTCTTCTTCTGAAACATAGGTGCCTTTCAACACATCACGTTACAAACTAAGAATAAATAATTTTGGTCAAAGGTGGGTGTATATGGGCATGAATTTTACAAATTTCTCAATGCGTTTGTCCTGAGGGACTGTGTTTCCATCACTTGTTTATGACCTACGTCACTGAAATCATTGAGTTCTATAGATTTGCTGGTATCTTCTATTACTCTAAGTTTAAGATTATTTGACTTAATATTTGACAGATTTTTCAAACAAAATTCTTTAGCACCTGCAATATATAAAAATAACCAAATTAGCCTCATCTTACAGGAATTTCCTTGGTAACTAACAAGGAAATATTAATAGTATGCTCGTTTGGCTCCTCGGTAGCAGGAAACAGTTGTCTTCCTTTCTACCCCCCTCAACCAGTTCATGTTTGGCCTCCCATCAATAAACAGGTAAGTAAGTGGTACTTTAGTGGTGCCTGAGGATACTTGAAAACAATTTACTCTTTTAAGTGGATTCAATAATTCATCCCAGAAGGTCTCATTACTTAATGACATTGCAAAAATTTGCTATTTCTTCAGAGGGAGGTCATTTAAAACCTGGATAATGAAGGCTGAGAGTCAGGCTACCTGGGCTCAATGGCAGTCCCTCTCATTTATAGGCTTTATGACTGGGGAATGATGTTTCCACCCTCTGTGTGTCTGTATACCCTTTTACTTTGGGCATTGTTGGCAGTTTAGGAGTTGCTGTCAGAGTATCTCATCCTTACATCATTTCCTAGAGCAGTTAGTGCTGGGTAAACATCAGCCACTCTGGAACAATGCTAAGGGTATGAATATTCTAAAGAAAAGTTAATGGGGGAGCTAAAAAGCTTAAATTGTAGATTTGCATACATTCTTCAGGGGAAAGCAGATGGCTTTTGCTTGAGCCATGTGCCAATGGCTTCACCCTAAGGTCTGAGGAGTTCTTGGTACCCAGTGGTTTGAGTGAATGAAGAAATGAACTATGAATTGATTTCTTCTCACTCGCATCCTCTTGATGTTTTCCTTCAGGCCGGAACATTTTCAGGCAAGCTGTTTGCCTGGAGAAACAATCAGCATAGGCTTCTGAGAAACGGTGTGGTTTATGTTCTGCATGTGACTGAAATAACACAATTAATTGCTTTTCTGTCATCTGCTTTCCATTGATCTTTCCCTGTAGAGCCATGCCCGTCAGTGTCTTCAAACTGATGGTGATCACAGGGTTTGGCATTTTTAATAATAATAAGACTAATAATAATAATAATAATAATAATAAGACTGGCTTTCTGTTATGTTCTAGCCAGCAAGACAGACTCAGGGTCAGTGTTCATTCATGTAAGCTTTACCAGAAAGATCTTTTTAAATGAAATTGAGGCTTGGGTACTCCCAACTTGAGGTTCATGCTTGTGAATATCTGTAACCCATTCCTGGAGAGTCTATGCCTCTGGATATCTCTTGACTACTCCTTGAGGCCCTCTCTGCCTGTCAGCTATGGTCCACTTTTTGAGGACATTGTCTGTGAAAACCTGTGGTCCACATGAGAGCCTCTGCTTGCTGATTTTCAAATATTCCTGGCTTTTGTTTCTTTTTGTTTGTGTGCAAATGACAAATTGTGTCATTTGCTGTCTTTTGAATTACCTTACCATAATTTCATGACAGCTAATCCCCCTCAAACCTCATTTTAAAATTCTAAATATCCAGTATCTCTTCCATGTTTCTGGAACACACAGTTGGGGGCTCCTTGTCTGCAAAAGAACATAAGCATGCACTTGTCACTTTTTCTCCTAAATTGCACTCTTTGCGTAGCAACTTACGTCCCTCCAAGGAACAGATTCTCCGCTTCTGAATTCTCCCATCATTGCATATTTTCAGTATGGCACTTACTAAGATAGGGATGGCCAGAATTTTACTCTGTGGTCTCCTGCTGGTGATGCTAGAATTCACTGAGAACAAAAAGCTGTCTCTTCACAAAAATGAACAGATAATTAGGAAAGTACATATCAATGCAGCCCAAGCAGTGAAACACTTGCCATTATGAGAGAGGGATAAACCCACATTTTAGAAACACCATTGCTATCTTTCTTCATCAAAGTAGACATTTTGTAATTCACATGAATTTTAATCACTTCAACTGAACCACCGGCAAATTGAACTGATGCAGAATGTAGAGGTTGCTTGTAGCTGATGGGAGGGGACCTGGGACATGAGAAGACATAGCCTCTGACTGGCGGCATGGAAGAGCCATAAAAAAACAGTGGTGGTGATGGCACAACTTCATGAACTTAATTTGTACCAAATTAAGTAGCTAAAATAAATTAAGTACTTGAAATTACCAAAATGTCAAAGTTTGCTTTATATGTGTGTATCCATACATGCACTAATATTAATGAGCAGCTATCATATGTTTTCTGAAAAGAAATGCTTATTTACTAAACCCCTAAAAGGAGGTCAGTGATTGGATTTGGAAATAAATATGGTTTCAGCAATAGTTTTTCCCCCTTATCCTCATTCCAGACAAATAGTTGTGTTATGAAACCATCATTTAGTCATGTGTTGAATTTACAAAGTAAATGAGTACATAACTGTACAATTAAAAGAAAGAAGGCGCTATTTAAGTAAATAGGCCTGGATGAGTTGATTAGTCTTCTGGACACAGGCGGTCTAGCTGTTCAAGACTGTCTGTGTCTGTGGGCACACAACACAGAGGATGAAGCTTCTGCCATTTGTTTTTGATTTGATGACATGTCAAGTCAAGGAGTCATGTGGCTTGTGGGTCCGGTACATGGATTCATGTCTTCAATCTACCCAGGACTTTGTGACCATTGTAAGATCTTTAGTTTTGCCACTGTACCGTGGTCCCATATGACATGTCCAAGAAAGAAGTCTAGTGTCATCAATTTGTGTGTATGAATGTGAAGAACGTGCAATATAGCCTTTCATAGCCTGCTTAGGGCTTTGCCTTTTTTGCTAATGTAGAGGTCCAAATAAATTTATGTTGAACAAAGATGTAATCTACAAAAAATATGGTGGATTTTGAAAATATCTTTACAAGGAATTCTTTGATCCCCTTCTCTTATTTGGTATATTTCATTATTTATGCATCGTATTTCCACTAAAATGCCTAGCAACAATTTATAAACTTTGTGAAAATAAATATTAAAGACAATACCAAGAACTGTTACTGTTGACTGTCTAAAAGTTACATCTCAAAGCTAACATAGTTAAAGTAGAGACATATCCTGTGTCTTGGAATGATGGTCTAACAAGCATTGATATCCTTGTTTGGATTTTTCTAACCCATTTCTCTTTCTGTTTCCCTTCTTTCCATGCTGACTTTGATGTAGCAGACCACTTGGGGATTGAATTTATGGGTAAGACAAAAAAATTTGTTCCTTAAGTATTCTGAGATCACTCTGATACTCTACACATTGTTCTCTTTCTCTGTTTAATTGTAATCAAAATTATTCATTATCATTCACTATTTGTATTAAAAAAAAAAACCCTTTAGTTCACTTCACATTTGGGAAAGGCTCATTATAGAAGTCTTAGCTACATATCCAGAAGGTGATGTGAGGCTCAGCATTTCTAAAATTCCACAGAAAAAGGATTTGCCTGTAGGCTTTGATAGTTTCTTCTCATTTACTTATCTGTCAAATAAGGGTGCTAACAGTTCCTACTTTATATATATAAACTGCTTAGCACAGTATTTCAACATGGAAAACATGCTTGATAATGATAGATAACAACATTTTAAAAAGCTATATCATTGTTTTCTGCTTAAATCCTTTTCTTCTTACAATCTGGCTTTGTTGGTACATTTTAGCATCAATAATAGTTTGTGTTGTAGACATATACACATTCACATTAACAAAATTGAAATAATTCTTATAATATTGCTAATTAATGACAGACTTTTTAAAAAAAATATTAGCTGTCTTCAAGAGACTTTACTTTCTATAGTCATAGACAATTTCATTAAAAATTGAAGCTACTTCTGAGTCTATTACAAGTTAAATAAGATATATGCTATGAAACTCAGTATGAAAAGATAATTAATAGCTAAGAGTTAGCTAAATTGAAAAACTTATAATTGAGCCAGAATTCTTTGAGTTCTGCCTGTTTGGATTGTAACCTGCAGATTTTTTCCTCCTTTGTAATGTCAACAAGAATACTAGTTTCACATGTGAATTGTGAGATTTCAGACGAATTCACTTATTCATCCCCTCTCCCACTGATTCTGATGATGCTCAACCAGTATCAGTCAGCAGAAAGGAAGGCAATTACTAGACTGGACAGAGTTTAGAGTTTAATAACTTATGATAAAAATTGCATATATCTTAATTCTACTTAGGCAAAATGATATTAGCCTGGAGTCATGGGATGAAAGAACTATAGGGAACGCTGTTATGTATTTAGAATGTGATACCAACTAACATTTGAAGTGAGGGAATGATGAAGAATAGCTACACTGGAAGGTCTTCAAGGATGAGAGTAAATGTCACTGTTTGTGTTCTTAGTTATGAGGTATAATAATGCCGAGAAAATGCTGACAGTGGAGGACATTTATAGAATATGCTTGTGAGATTAGAAACAGAAATGTTAGTTTGGAGTACATTATTTGAGAAAAGATGCCAAGTCAGTTGTATTTCTATAGGTTGGAGGGTTATAGATTCCTGGCCTCATTTTTGTATCAGAGTTTCTCTTCCTTGTTGGAGGGTTATAGATTCCTGGCCTCATTTTTGTATCAGAGTTTCTCTTCCTTGTTTTATGGCCCGACTCATTAGAACTCTGTTACTGGGTTATTTCATCATTGAGACAACAGACACCTCAGTTGCTGCATGTTTGAGCCATTGGTAGATAAACTGGATTCAAACACAGGAAGGGCAATGAAACTCAGATAATTATTAAATTGACGTTTGACTTCAACCATGAAATGTGTGGTTAGTATGGAAATATGTTAAGAAAAACTGAAATCAAATAATACTCATAATTGAAGTGCTTGAACAAATTTGTGCCATGAAAAGAGTCACCTTTCATATTGTTGGATAATGAGTGATTTGAAGAAGGAGTTATGAGACAGAAAAAGTTTCAAATCATGCTAATGAGTGAGGTAACCCAGACCCAAAAAGATGATCATGGGATGTACTCACTCATAATTGGTTTTTAGCCATAAATAAAGGATATTGAGCCTATAATTCGCGATCCTAGAGAAGCTAAATAAGAAGGTGAACCCAAAGAAAAACATATAGTTATTCTCCTGGATATTGGAAGTAGACAGAATTGCTGGGCAAAAATTGGGAACTGGGGGTGGGGTGGGATGGGGGAAAGAGGAGATAGGGAGAGAAAAGTGAGAAAGGGAGGATGGGGAGAGCTTGGGGGAATGGGATGGTTGGGATAAAGGAAGGATGGATAGGGACTGGGGAAGTATATATCTTAATTATGGGAACCATTTTAGGGTTGACAAGAGCCTTGACTCTAAAGGGGTTCCCAGGTGTCCAGAGAGAAAGTAGCAAAATTGAGCAAAAGAAGTAAGCAAACCCAACAGGAGGTCATGGTTTAAGGAGGTATGCTTTATTTCATGAATAAGCAGATATTATTATTGCTCAAGATGAAACAAGGGTTTCAGAATTGAAATAGATAATGTTTGTTATATGTAAAATTTTCCAAGACCATAGTTCAATAGACGATAGTGGGAATGTTAGCAACTGAATAAAAAAATATTTCCTCGGTGCCTCAGAAAAAGAACACTTTATTGCCAGGGAGTATTCTCTCTTGCCCAGGGCATGTGGTTCTGGTCAACATATTAGTATTTTTCATCTAAGGGATGACTCAGTGGCCTAAGCTGATCCTTCTGGTGGCTTTAATATCTCCCAGGTTACCTCCTCAACAGCTTCTAGCTGTCAATATTGGAACAGAGAACACAGGCTTCCTTAAATCACTTGGTCTGAAATAACTCACATCACTTTTTCTTAATAGTTTGTTCCCCAGAACTAATCAAATAACACCATTATTTCACAAATATTACCGGTAAATGCAACATTAGACTCATTAAAAATTAATAGTCTTAGTAATTTATATCATAATATGAATTATAGAAACATGAAAACACTCAGAAGTTTTGGAAGACACAAGAAAAAGTTCTCCAGGAGCCAAGGGTACAGATCCATAACTTTGTAGGTATAGACAATGTTAAAACAGCTTTTAAAAATGCAAAAGGAGAATGGGACTATTCACATAAGATTTGGGTTTTAGTTATAGTAGGAAAAAATAAAGTCAAAAAGAGATTATGATACTGAGGAATGTTGAAAGATACAGCTGAGAAATTTCAGAGGAGGAAGAGGCTAGAGCTAAGCCATGGACCAGGAAACAATAAGCATGGATTGTGCGATAGAGGATAAGCCATTGAAAAGGGTAAGCAGTCAGCACTCCTCATTCACCAATGGTAGCAGGGAATAGGTATCAATGACATGGGTTTATGGCCCTCAACATCATTTGAGAAAAGTGAGCACTAGGCCTCATGGATAAAAAAATTTGTTCCACTGGTCTGTGGGGATTTCAGGGTCTAAGAATGGCTGTTTCAAGGCTGTTGAGCAGAACACCTGTACCCCTAGGAATCACCACACAGCTGCTGGTAAGGCTGGAGATTTTTAGATCCCAGAAGCAAAGTGACAAGACAGCAAGTGAAATTACTATACAAGATGTTAATTATCTCTGTTGAAAGAAATAGACCAGTTTCCATCTTACCAGGACACTTCTAGCATTCCTGATATGTATAGCACTGTGGAACTAAGAGGTGTGCTGAAAAGTCTAAGTGAGAACTCATTTGTGGAGTTCATTTCTTAGTCCAGGTAAAATAGTATGTTACTGTGTAGTTCATGTGTATGCCACTCGAGCGTAAGGTTATAGCAAGACTTGCAAAAATTAGAGTCAAATCATAGGTCTAAAGTCTTACAGGGACTGAGTTTGCAGTGTGTGACTATTTGTCTCCTGAAATGATACCACCTTGGAGAGAAGGGGTTGACTAGTAAAATGGAGCTAGGGGCAATAACTGGTACATAGGTATACATTGCCAACTGTCAAGGGATTGTTCAGAGCAGTGAGTGGGGTTTACACAATTAGGGGATATCCTGTTTCAATTACCTTCCTTGCCCACTTATACCCTTTGCTGAATCAAAATATGTAAAGTGTTGTTTGTGACTTTGCAAATAAACATTTTGAATTTAATCTGTGATTACAGAATTGATGTGGGTAAAATGTCTTGAAGATGGTTATTGAATTATTACATTATTAAATCATCTATAGATGAGAATTTCATATGAAAATGGTAGTGTACAGAAAATGTTTATGAATTTTATCAGGTCAGTTTGATGGGCAGATTATTTATACCAATTTTGTTCACATGTGTGTATAAGAGGGTGGATGTACTTTAAATGGAGCTTACTTTTACATTACTCTAAAGTTCACAGCAAAATGTAGTAGAAAATTCCCAGCTTTCCTGTCTATCTCTCACATGTGCAAAGCCTCCCAGTTTTTTCAGTTTCCCACAAAAGAAGCTTATGTTACCCCTAAATCACCCACATACACCTTTACTTTTCCCAACCCTTGACAGTCACCAACCTTTTTGTCATTATTATAGTTTTGCCTTTTTCAGAATGTCAAGATGTTGGAATGTAACCACCCTCTATACTGAGAGTAAGCGTCACTGCCTTTTTACTGTCATAATAGTTCAGCAAAATTACCAGTGTGCAATGTGAATATTTGTCAAGAGACATCAACACCTCCATATCTTTTAACGATTTTACAGAAAATCTTTTTATTGCTGAACAGTCTTTCAGTGTTCAAATATTTCAGTTTGCGTATCTCTTTGACTTCACAAGACTTATCTGGATGTTTCCCAGATTTAAGAATTCTCAATATAATTTTATGATAAGCAGCCACATGTATAGATGTAAACTTTCATCCCTGCTGGATCATATCGTAAGGATACATTGTTCTATAAGAAATTATTTCACTCTCTTGTATAGTGTCTATACCACAGTGTAGTTCCATCAGTAATATAGGAGCAAAATTGTTGTTGGTTCACATCCTCATCAGGACTTAACCCTGATAGTGTTCCAGATTCCAACATTTCTAGCAGGTGTGCAATGCCCGCACAATCTTGCCATTTGCCTTTAGCTGACATCTAATGAGGAGCATTTGTTTGCTGTGCTAATTTGGCATCTATGAATCTTCTTTGGTGAGATGTATGTCAAGATCTTTGGTGCCATTTTGACTGTTTTAGTTAACCAATTTTAAGAGTTCTTTGTATATGATAGCTAGTAGTGTTTCATCAACTACATCTTTCTTTGGCAATTACTTTCTGTCAAGTAAT